GTTAATCGGGTATTGTGGACGACTCAGCACTGCTTTCTAACACTGATCTAACAGTGTTTTGTAAATTCGAGTATTTTGAGAGACTCAGTGCTGTTTTTTTTTTGTGAATCGGAGGGTATTTTGATGGTCCATGTATCATACGGCTTTTGGTTGGCGTGTCTATACAGGGTGTCCGCAAAGTTGGGGTTTTCCTTTTCAGAAACAACTACCCTTTAAATAACAAAGGCAATGTGTAGTGAAACGAGGGCGTCCAAGTAAAAAAAAAATAAAGGAAAAAGTACTCACTCTCCAGTTGACGAGAAGGGCTAGGTACGTCTCTGCCCGAAATCATACCGCTTCAACAGAAAATGAAATCAGCTGATGCGCTACCGAGCAGATGCACCATGCCAGCCCAAACATTCACCGAAAATGTTTGTTGAAAATGTGCCCGACGGACAGCGTGCGGATTTTCTACTGACCAAACATGAGTGTTGCGAAAGTTATTCGCCCATTACACGTGAACGTAGATTCGTCTGTCACCAATATGCACTTCAAAAAGTCCGGATTATTGTCATGTTGATGCAACAACCACTCACAAAACCGCACTCTTGCTGGAAAATCGTCAGGTTGAAGAGCTTGTACACGTTGGACGTGAAACAGATACAGCCCCTCTTCACGCAGCGTTTGCCACACTTTAGTTTTTGATACTTGCACTTCTCTAGTGCTTGTTGAGGGATTCTCGTCTACGCGATTACCTCTACACGCGTGACCGTAACCGTCGGTTGAAGGTTGCATACTGACCTGACACACTGACCCCGACCCAGTTCTGTCGTCGGGTTGAGCCAGTACCTTGTACCACTCGGTGATGTCGCGGCTACAGGACGGTATTCAGATATTTTTGATGTTGCAGAGCCCTTTATCTCGGTTCCCTTAAGACATTGGTGTATATGGTACTAAGAAAAATTGCTTATGTTTTCAAGATCTACACGTCGTGTAAAGGAAAAACCCAACTTTGCGGACACCCTGTATAGTTAATTCTGAGCTATTAGAAAAAATCAAAATCAAATAAAGCTTGATTTCCTTATCCAAAAATAACGTCACATGATGGCAAGGGAGGAGGGAAGTAATTCGAGTATTTTCGGAGACTCAATGCTGCGAACCGGAGGGCAGCGGAGTATTTCAATCGCAAATATTCCAAGTTTGAAAGTACGCTTTTAAGGCTTTATATCTACATCACACAAAGCCGTGTTTTTCAATTCCGTCGGTTTGTCTGTTGGCGATTTTATTACTGCATAAACCCAGTAGCATCTGCGCCGATTTCATTAGAAATTGGAGTGATGAGATGTAAACACGTGATAGGAAATAATAGATTCTTTTTATGTTTGTTGGGGGTCTCCGATCATTTTCTGTCATGTTCAGTTTTTCTTTATGGTGGGTTCAAAAATTTTTGAAACTCAGAAACGTTGTTTTTTGGTTTTTGCTTTTTATCAACCCAACCAGTCGTAAACAGCACCGTTCATCATGGTTAGGATGTCGTCGATACGACATAGGCTATCGGAGATAGACGGAAAGCAAAGTGCTCCGTAGAACATAGAACCTCTCGGACATGTGATAGAAGAAGGTATCCTTGATTTTGTGGGCTGCTCGATGTTCTGATAATTTCAGGGCATAGTCAAAGCATTTTTTGCATGAGTTAGAAATTTACGAAACAAGTTGGGCATCCTTCTTTTGCATGCTAGCGATGTTTTGTATAGTCTAAATCGAGTAATTAGTGTACTTAATGTTGCTGAATGGAGATCCTTGGAAGGTAATAGAATAATACAAGCCCGAGCTAGGAGACTTCAATTGTATTATCTAAAGAGAAATAACTGAAACTTGGCACCATTGCACGGAGGACTTATCCACTGGTATTTAGTTAATCTGAGTATTTTGGAGGACCTAATGCCGCTTTGTTATCTGGAGAGTATTCCGGTAGAGGACACATCATACGGTTTTTGAAAGGGAGACCTATATAGCGGACTTTTTATGGAAATCCGAAATGTTAATGTATCTGGGATCAATTTGTCTTGGTGTCGGATATTCACGAATTAAATTGTATATATATTCAGTATTTCTGGTAGGTGACTTATTGCTGGTTTATGAAAGGATGACCTATCCACGTGGAGATGTAAATATATATATATATATATATATTCGTATATAACAACAAGTATATTTGTATATTCGTATATATATAAATAATCAAAATCCTATCTACCCGAAGGTGTAAGGTGTATAAAATAGTATAATATAAATCTACTTCCCGCTCAAACTTGTGTAGAATATATCTTTGCAGCCCACTGCTTTTTGTTTTTTGTCAGTTTCACTGCATCTTTCCCGTTTAGTCCCCTATGTGTCAGTGCCTCTACCACCCCATCGTTCCATTTCTTTCTTGGACGTTATCGTATTCCTTTTCTTTGAACTCTGCTCCCCACACCCGTTGCGCTGGTCTACTTTTCTTCATGCTGTTCAGGTGTCCAAACCATCCTAATTGTTGTATTTCAGCTCTACAGGGTTTGTCCGGAAAGTAATAGGACTGAGTCGATATAGAAAAATTTATTGAGCCAATCGTTACAATTCCTTAAAAACTTTCAAAATACGCTCCTTCTGCGTCGATGCAGCGCTGCCAGCGCGATTTCCAAGCATTGAAGGCGTCACGGAAGGCATTCTCCGGAATAGCCTTCAGAGCCTCGGTGCATGCTGCTTGGATCCCCTCTGTCGTCTTAAAATGATTGCCTTTCATCGGCCTTTTCAGGCGAAGAAACAAAAAAAAGTCGGGGGGAGGCAGATCTGGGCTGTAGGGCGGCTGCGGAAGCGTTGGGATGCCGTCGTTGGTCAGGTAGCTGTTCACAAGAAAGGCGGTGTGAGCCGGGGAGTTGTCGTTGTGCAACTTCCAGTCGGACCCGACTGACCCTTCGTTTGAGTCTCCTGAGCACTTCCACGTAAAACTTGGCGTTGACGGTTTGTCCAGGAGGAACAAATTCATGTTGGACGATGCCTTTGATGTCAAAAAAGACAATGAGCATCGTTTTTACTTTGGATTTGCTCATTCTTCCCTTTTTTGGGCGAGGAGACGCCGTCGTGTGCCACTCGGAAGATTGCCTCTTTGTCTCGGGATCATACTCAAAGATCCACGACTCGTCATCTGTGATTACGTTATTCAATAATTGGGTGTCACTTTCACACATGTTCAAATTTTCTTGGCACACTTCCACTCGCTGCAATTTCTGGTCGTCAGTCTTTTGGGACCAACTTCGCGCACACCTTGCGCGTGTTCAAATGCTGTGTCACAATGTCATGAACCACAGATTTTGGTAAATTTAGCATCTGGACAATTAAACAAATACTTAGTCGACGGTCTGAGTTCAAAACTTTGCGCACACGAGTCACATTATCGGTGTTTGTCGAAGTCGAAGGTCTTCCAGCACGGTCTTCATCAGCGACCTCTTCCCGGCCCTCCAAAAAGCCCTGGTGCCACCGAAACACACCACTTCTTGCTAAAGCAGCACCTGGGTAAGCCTGCTTGATCATATCAAACGTGTCTGTCGCAGATTTACCGAGTTTCACACAGAATTTAATCGCGTACCTCTGCTCTAACGAACGCTGAATTTTCGGTTTGCACCACTCACAGAAACACGTCGCGCGAAAATGCCTGTCCTGACTCTCCAAATGCACGGATATAACTGACTAGCCGCTCATTCGTTAGCTAGGAACGCCCTCTACCGAATCCAGTCATGGCGGAAGAAAGTGAGTCCTATTACTTTCCGGACAAACCCTGTATGCAAGATTGGTTCTACTCCCAGTTCTGCCCTTACTATATCATTTCTGATTTTGTCTCGTCTAGTTATTCCTTTGACTTTTATTAAAAATTTCATATCTACTGCCTGAATCTTGCTCTTTAATCTGTTTTTTAGCACCCAACCTTCGCTACCAAAAATTAATGTTGGCGTAAATACGGCCTTGTAAAAAATATCTTGAATTTCCAACTAATTTTCTTGTTTCCCAGGAAGGCTTTGCTCATTGTATGATATGTCTTTACTGCTTTATTAATTCTTTCATTTAGTTTAGCTTCCATACTGCCTTCACGCTGTATCATAACTCATAACAAGATATTTATATACATTTACCTGTTCCAGTTCATTGTTATTAATTTTGACATTTTTTCCGATTACCATTACTTTAGATTTGGCTACATTAATTTTCAGATTTCTTATTTCTAATTCGGCGTTCCAAAGTTCTAGATTAGTTTGCAGGTCTTTTTCCCGTTCGGCACAGATCATGAGATCATCGGCAAACGCTTATTCTGACAGCCTAACCATTTCCAGTTTGTAATGACCAAAGTTCACTTTTTTTATTTTGTATTTTATTGTTTTTATGATGTCTACGATAATTATAAAAAGTGTAGGACTTAAAACGCCTCCCTGTCGTAAGCGTTATTATTTTAAAAGGTTTTGATACCATGTTTTCCTTTCTAACATAATTCGTGTTATCCGCATGAAGTGTTTTAATTCCTCTTATTAGTTTAGGGCATATATTTTTTTTTCCAAACTGTCCCACACTACCTTCGGTGGTATCCTGTCAAATGCCTTTTCTAGTTCTAGAAGGGCCATGCAGGCTTCGGTGTTCTTCGTTCTAGTCTTTTCGATCAACTGGTTAATCGTATAATACAATACATGATCCTGTGTGCTTCTACCTTTCCTAAATCCGCACTGTGCTTCCTCCAAATCTGCTGTTGCTGTAACCGATTTGAAACCCTATGAAATTCTGAAACCCCATTGGAGCAGACAATTTTTTGAAGATTCTGGGTTAGCATTTTTTATGCTACCTCAACATAAGTTTCTCAATGAATGTTCAGAATAATTCTTAGTTGATATATATTATACAATTTTTTACTTGCTTCATAAGGTTTATCTTTTATTTTCCATCAGATATTTGTTGTTGAGATATCTAACACTTTAAACATTGCCCTAATGTTATTCTAGGGATGATAATGGAACGTTTGAGCCATTGGATTTAGTGCAGTACTCTGCCCCACCAGATTTACCAGATGTGATGAAGTCACAGGAAAGCAATGGTCAAGAACAATCATCTTGAACAGTTAAGGCTCATCAGGTTCATATAAGATATTAAGTGGAGTTTTTTGTTTTTATTGCGATTTTATACAGGAATAATTGAATGGCAAATTTAGGTAATGGTAGTGTATATGGGATGATTGAAAATCTTGTTCAGAAAAAGGAACTAGCTATATACGTTATATATGCTGTCAGTGTTTGTAATACCAAGTCAAGATTAAACATTGTCATGCTGTTTTATATTAAATTCATATACACTACAATTATTATAACCATTTGTTTTGAAATTTTCAGATCTTTTTTGTTGCTATGTATGAGTTTAAATTTAAGTACTGGGTGTAATTTTTTGACTTCATAAAGTAAATGAAAACATTTTTAGGATAATTAATCATTGTAATTTGTGCATTGTGCATCAGTAGCTACTTCTACTGCAAGTGTCAAAAAGTAAAAATGAATAAACTGTTGACCTTACGGAGTTGTACAGTAAAAGTGTCTTAATATACAGGATGCTCTTGAGTTAACCTACATTGCTATAAGAGTATCCATAATGAGTTGCAAGTACTAATACAACTCATATTCATGGATATTTAAACTGCTGTTTCAAATAAATTCGTATAGTACCTATACTGACTGTCTTTAGGATTGATTGCTTACTTTTTATTTAGATAACATAGTGTTCATTACTAATTTTTGTGATATAATTTGTACTCAAGTCATCAGTTGAGGAGGTAACTTTCAAAATATGATTTGTTCGTCGGATACGGAACCTCGACAAAAGCACATTTTTTATATTGACTAAATCGGTATTCCATTGTGAATCCTTTAAATGATGGAAGATAAACCTGGATGTCCTAAATGGAACTATTAAAATTCCACAGATAACTGACTATTGTATCTCTTGATTTTCAGGATTGAAAAATGGACAAAAGCTTTATGCATTAATTATGTGGAGAAAACATGAATTGAAAACATGTTGAAATGTAACAGTCAGATAGTGTTTTGACCATACAATATTAATTAGTTTACGAAGTATCGTTTAACTTATAACAACACAAACAAAAGTATTTTGGAAATTACTTTATTTCAACATTATAACTGGTAAACGCAAATTCAAAAGTCGCTCGTATTCTCTTGATCAGCTATTTCTTTTTCAAATGGTATTGAAAAGTACTTCTTTGTACCAATTAAAGCGGTTATCGTCTAGATTTTTCCAGATTCCAAAAACAGCCTGAAGTAGCTTGTCAACATCGTTCTTCTTTTTGTCAGATAAGGGCCTTCCCAGAGGCAATGTTTGAGGCTGCATCGTATTGGTGAATGACTTTTTGGAATGATTCACCTCCTTCATAGATGAAGTTCTCCATTGCCTTACTGCCTTGCTGACTTTGAAAAATATCATCTTCAGGTTGCTTATATTTCTTAGGTTCTTGTAGAACTTCTTTAAATCCTTAGTGTTTTTGAGTTCCCAGTCCTGCCCGACTCCCAGTTCTTTATAAAGGTCCATATATTTCCTCTTTTTCCCTGATAGTCGGCACATTCCGCATCAGTTTTTCAGCCCTACCAAAGATCCTATTCACAGGAAGAAGCGAGTGCCCACGAGTTGGAAAGGGCATATGAATCTCTTTAATTTCTGATGTCATCTGTGTTTGCGTAAAGTACAGAATAGTCCGTGTCCCAATATTATTATTCTGAGCGCCGCACCCAACACTGAATAATCTTAAAATACTGCATGTTTGTAAATCAGTATTGTGACGGAAATATAACAATGCAAATGAAATTCCTGTACTTCTCTTTCCGGCGTGATCCTCAGTCCAGCAGTAAAATTTTGGGTTTAGTCCTTTTACATCAACTATACAGAAATTATAAAATCCAATTTGTCTTAAGTAGTATGCTTCCTGCACGTTTGTTTTTGGTAGAGGCTGGATTTATTGTAAGTCAAAACAGTAGCTCACACAATCATCTACGTTCTGTTTCATGAGCTGATAAAATGGATTTGCTCCCTTATGAATTCTTTTTTCTATAATGAAACCGCTTCTTTCCTTGGATCCCGCAGGAAATGTTTTAATTTTGTGATCTAAAAGTGTGCAATAGCTACTTACATCAGTAGCTGGAGATTTAAAACCAATATTAAAGTTATTTACGAAGGTTCGTCTGAACATTGACTGTACAACTTTCAATTCATCCATGGTATTCTCATTGTAAATTGTATGTAGTTTTTTAATGCTCAGGTCTGCCATCAAATATATTCGTTTAGACTTATTTCTCCTATAGTGACTTACACTCCATTGAAGTTTTCCAATAAACTGTTACACACTTTCTTTCTTTTCTCGACTCAAATGGCTGTTCCTGTCTCTTCCTCTATTCTCTCTCAGCATTTCACCATGGAACTATTTCTTTGCAATGTTTTGCAATCCAGTGCGGAATACCTTTGTTACTTCTAGAAAAAACTTCTAATACAAACTGATACTCTCTGAGAATTAACAGTTATGAAGTATTTAACTGTGTATAAATGATTCCAAAAAGGCCTTCTTAGGTTTTTCTCGGGGTCTTCTAAGCTTCACTCCTTGAGTCTGGATCAAAGATGAAATGATTCAATCCTGTGCAAGCTCCTTCGGAACTAAACACAACTTTTTTAGAATTGCTACGATGTGATTTGGTGTCACTTTTGAACAATGTAAGACCTTTGTGTTGTGCCTACAAGGCTTGATCACATTCTACGTCCTCAATAACTCGCTCTTTTAGCGACAACCCTTTTTCCACCAGTCTTACGGCTACCACTATTACTATATATAGGTGAGATCACGATTTGATTGTCTTTGTCTGCTAAAAACAAGCGGTCCGTACATAAAAGAAAAGTGGAACTGTTAACTCGTTTTTTTTTCTCTGTGACAAAACAGGTTTTGAAAGTTACCTCCTGAGTTGACAACTGCCTACATCATTACAATAGTAGCAACTATTGGGGAACATAGTTGATTCTTGAAAAAGATGGTAATTACATATTTTGGTAGGCACCAGCCCACCAGGTGTGAACAAAATTTGCTGGATATGTGCTTTTCAATTAACATAGGACAAATATTCATCATGTCTCATTTGGGAAAAGTAATTAATTCATGAGTACATGATTATTATTCATATTGCAGTTTTTCTCTTAACACAGATATGTAATGGCTGGTACATTTAAATCCATAGCATCCTACCAATTCCCTGAAATATTGAAACAGGATTATGAAAGAAATGTATAAAATTATGTGATTGAATGAAATCATGTGCAGTTCTTCATTTAACATTTTGCCATAATAGCTTGGGTCTAATTGGATAATCAATATGATGCAAACAACACAATTTTCAATAGAGCATTGTCTGGCTGAATCAAAACTACATATATGTTTAGATTTCTAATCATTATCTGTGACAATATATTTTGATTTCTGTCTTCCAGGTGACATTTTGTTTCTTTTTTCCTTTTCCACATTCGCATACAGTGTGATAAAACGATAGTTTGAATGGTCCCGTAGAATGCTGAGAATGCGCGAAGCAATCATTTCAATTTTAAGATGGCAACGAGCAAAATCAGTAAATTCTGGGACCACTTGGGGAAGACATTCCTGCTCCTAAAAGCATGTCCGGCTTCTAATGCGACAAGCGAGCATGAGGTTATCTATCGTTTTTTAATGTACCAGATACGTCACCCTCGTCCATCGTTTCGAAATCGACAGTGCTCTGAAAATGCAAAACCCAACCAAAACTCTTGTCGCAACACGCCTGTCAGGCAATGGGGTCCAATGAACATGAAAACCACAGGAGTTTCAGCAGTTGCATTAGCGATTTTCAATGTTCTGTGGCTTAGCTAGATTCTTGGTTCTCACATAAACCGCAACGTAAACTGATTCTGAAGAAATAGGCTAACATTTGAAACGGAAAGTTGCTCACCTTTCCGTCCGAGAAATTGTCAAAAATCCTCGCAGCTCCTTAGGCCGTACATTAGGGTTTCTTGTAGTTTTTTAACCTATGAATGAAGTTTGAATAATTCAAGATTTATCAAAAAATGGAATGTTATTGTGGCAAAATAATAATTTATTGTTTCTATTAAGATGGCTCTATGATCATACAAGGGGCAATTGAAAGTAAACATTTCTTTAGCTATGTTATGGCTGAGACAGATTAAAGAAATCATTACATATTTTTTTGAATTACTTTTACTAATTCATTGATATGCTAATAATGACAATATTCTACCGCCTTCTAACGCCCAACATGGATCCATCCTTCTTATTATAGAAAAACTTTCTATCAGTTGTATGAATTTTTCACCACAAAGGACCATATATATATAACAAAAAGTAGAAAAATAATGGGCAAAATCCGCAAAAAGACGTAAGTGTATATATAGTATAAAATGGCTAGAAGACCGAATTTTCAAGGAGATATCTAACCACAACCACGCGGCCTGTTACAGCCACTTGCTGTGGTACTTCACGCCCAAAGGATCTACAAATCTTTGTAGTACTACAATGTGTAGGTTGGCTCTTCTTGTGGAGTTCGTGTATCGTTTTTTTCCCTCTCCATCTTCGTTTCCTCAAGTTACACCCGTATCCGGATATGTGGGCATGTGTATCTACTTTTGTAGTTTCATATGTGCATTCATTTCGGGCCTGATGAAGCCAACCAGCAGAAATACGTATCGCTCGGGTTACCTATCCTATTTTCTGCTCGAATCCACTTTCCTCTTTTTTGCGGCTTTTGCCCATTATTTTTCTACTTTTTGTTATATACCTTTCTCCGCATGATCATTTTCTCTCTCTCTCTCTCTCTCTCTATATATATATATATATAATTAATTGTTAATTGGGAAATTGGCAAATTTTTAGGCTTAAGTTGACTCTTTTGACGATAAAATCAAGCTTTCGGCATTCTCTATGGAGCCTTCATCAGGATTCTGAAAACACAATTGTGATGCTAGCAAAGAAAATAGGACAGATTTAAATTGTCAAACAACTTACTCGTCGTTGCGTTTGCAGCCACAAGGTGTTTCAAAAACGAACGTAGAGAAATAGAACTTGTAATCAGTATAAAAACAAAAGGACGGGGACATTGGGCTTGTTGATAGCGACAGGTACCTTCGTTACATTTTAAAAATATCAATCCACCCGAACAAATTAAAAAGTATTACACGTGAGAAGACATTTATGTGAAACAATCGGAATGCGGTCTCTAACCTCCTACTTCCGCTACACGTGGAGAGGGGGACGCCACGGAAAGATAAAGCATCGACAGATGACAAGTGATTGACGCGACGGACCGTGGAACTGTAAACCTCCTTGTCCAAATTTGGGTATGAGGTATACGAGGGACGCTCGGTAAACCTCCACCCAAAATTACTAAAATGCTGAATTAATTTCTTTTGGAAAAATGTGTGTAGTTCATATGAGTGTACGAATGTGTGATATTGATACAACTTTGAAGATATGTGTTATATGAGTTTATATTAAGAAATGTGAGTGAGGAATTGTATTCTAATTTTGTGAAGATGTTGGTTCAATTTGGATATGTAGCCGTTCTATCTTTTCGCAATTCAACAGGTAGGAATAAATGACACTGAGCGGCTTAACATCAGCCTTTTTATTCGTGCAATGATCTGTCATGAAAATGTGGGACATTTCTAAAAATAAACGTTTTGAGAGTCTTTTTTCTTTATCAAGAACCTCAATACTGCCATAATTCATAGAGTGACCTGTGTTGTTAATATGAGATGCCAAAGCACATCTCTCTGGATGTAATCTGGCGTCACTTTTGTGTGAAGTTATCCTGCCTTTCAGCGACCTAGAAGTTTGGCCTATATAAACTAAATTACAGTTGTTGCAATTAATTGCCATACAATCTAATTTTCATAAAAAAGTATGTGGACGATATTATCGTTTGTCTTCTTTATGATAGGGTGGATGATATTGTTGAGGTTTTTAACAGTTATGATCCCTACATCCAGTTCACCATCGAAAAAGAAGATGACAATCAATCTGTTCCCTTTTTGGATTCAAGATTGATTCGTACCAATGACAATATATTACTGGAAGACTGGTACAGGAAACCAATTTCTTCGGGAAGGTTCCTGAACTTCAGGTCTTACCACGAACTTAAAATAAAAATAAACCTGGTGAAATAAATGAAGAACAGGGTTATAAAAATCTCTGACAGTACTTTCCATCTTTCCAATTTAAGGAAGCTTTCACTCTTATTTATCAACAATGGCTATCCTAAGTATTTGGTTAACAGAATCTTGTTCAGCTCTCCTCCGAATATTTTGCCAATGACGAATAACAATAGTGAAAATGACAACACCTCCGAAGGTGGTAGACGGTCTCTGACTGTCGAACGTGGAGGTATCACCCGGCGGATCTCGTAGGCGGAGCCAGAATGTGTGCATGTTGCACGAACACGTGTTCCCTCGCCAGAGTCCGTGTGGCGTTCCCCCTTTCCCCTGTATCCCCCTATAACCCCACGGTACCCAATGGGTGTTTAGGCCTTAGGCCTTCGTGGTAGTTGGAATAAAAAAAAACACTGTTCAGTCCAACCAGATACCCATGAATTCTTCAACCAATGAGAATAACAGCACTACAGTGGTTGCTCCTATTTCCAGAGTTAATTATGTTGTCTTGCCATACATCAAAGAACTAACACCAAAATTGATTTGGCCGTATAATTCCTTTAATTGTCGTTTTGCTTGTAAATCAGTACTCACAGTCAACAGTTTGTTGTCCAAAATGAAGGATAAGGTTCAGTTGCTTGATTCAACCAACACTGTCTATCGCATTAATTGCAACAACTGTAATTTAGTTTATATAGGCCAAACTTCTAGGTCGCTGAAAGGCAGGATAACTTCACACAAAAGTGACGCCAGATTATATCCAGAGAGATGTGCTTTGGCATCTCATATTAACAACACAGGTCACTCTATGAATTATGGCAGTATTGAGGTTCTTGATAAAGAAAAAAGACTCTCAAAACGTTTATTTTTAGAAATGTCCCACATTTTCATGACAGATCATTGCATGAATAAAAAGGCTGATGTTAAGCAGCTCAGTGTCATTTATCCCTACCTGTTGAATTGCGAAAAGCTAGAACGGCTACATATCCAAATTGAACCAACATCTTCACAAAATTAGAATACATTTTCTCACTCACATTTCTTAATATAAACTCACATAACCCATCTTTTCAAGGTTGTATCAATATCATACATTCGTACACTCATATGAACTACACACATTTTTCCAAAACAAATTAATTCAGCATTTTAGTAATTTTGGTTGGAGGTTTACCGAGCATCCCTCGTATACTTCATACCCAAATTTGGACAAGGAGGTTTACAGTTCCACGGTCCGTCGCGTCAATCACTTGTCATCTGTCGACGCTTTATCTTTCCGTGCCGTCCCCCTCTCCACGTGTAGCGGAAGTAGGAGGTTAGAGACTGCATTCCGATTGTTTCACTAAAATGTCTTCTCACGTGTAATACTTTTTAATTTGTTCGGGTGGATTGATATTTTTAACATATAACGAAGGTATCTGTCGTTTTCAACAAGCCCAATGTCCCCGTCCTTTTGTTTTTTTATACTGATTACAAGTCATATCTTCTCTACGTTCGTTTTGAAACACCTTGTGGCTGCAACCTCAACGACGAGTAAGTTGTTTGAAAATTTAAATCTATCCTGTTTTCTTTGCTAGCATCACAATTGGTTTTCAGAATCCTGATGAAGGCTCCATAGAGAATGCCGAAAGCGTGATTTTATTGTCAAAAGAGTCAACTTAAGCCTAAAAATTTGCCAATTTCCCAATTAACAATTAATTGTATTTTGTGCCCAACTGGTCGTTGGCTTTGGCAATGACCACTGCTCATATCTATATATGTATATATATATATATATATATATATATATATATATATATATATATATATATATATATAGATTAACTTAGATCGTTCCAACGCCACTTTATACACATCAGACAGCGGCGCTATATTTCATGTTCACGAATTGTGGAAGAGTGAACACTTCTATAATATATTGACGTTTACTGGTTACATTGGTTATTTTAAGTATTCATTCTATGAGTACATGATTATTATTCATATTGCGGTTTTCAATTTTATTCAGATTTTAGTAGCTTGTTGCATCTTAGTCTTGGTGTTTTAACTTTAACACCAAGACACCCATAATGTTGTTTTCTTCTGACAATAATGTTCTGGTTTTGGCTGCGCTTTTCACTTAAGCTTTGATATGGTCGTTTTTCTATATAACTTAAAATTTTTGGTTTCTCTTTCTTTCAGGGCTCTGGGAATCTTGAAAATTCTGATGAATAGTAGTTACAGCACATTATTCCAGTTGCATAGTCCCATTTAATAGAAATGGCTGGACCATAGTTAGGAACTTTCTACCTTTCAAGCAGATAAAACTAATGAAAAGTTTAGATCTGCCAATTTAATCTGTCTGCGTCATTATTATTGCGATAGCCGAATAATGATTCAAACTTGCTGTAAAGGTAATTTGCTAAATATGGAAATTTGTTTATTTAATCTAGGGTGTAGATCTTTATATTTGTACACGTTATACATTTCGTGTTTTCATTTTTCTTTTTCCTTGTATAGATGTGTATTTTTGTATAATTTCTTGAATAGACATTTTGTACACCCTCATAGCATTATGGTACGATTGTCATTTTTAAGCTTACGCTTGTGTGTTAAGATGTCATGTTACATTCTACAAAAATTCATGGAGTGGTTTTGTTACACTAAATAGGTACACTATCCTAGCAATGTCAACAATAATTGTAAATTCATAATTTATATTTAATATAGGTAATAAAAATTATTATCATTTTACAGAACCTTTCATATTGGACTTCCAGGTAAAATGATTTCTAGTTGTCAGCCGTCATTCATGCTTTCGTCTATGTTTAGTCGCACACGGCATCCTACTTTTTCAGGTAAGGTCTTTCGAAAAAGATCAAGCTCAAGTCTGTACTAATTTTGAACAAGGTGGCCTTCAATTTGTCTTTGCACATCATCTTCAAGGTTATTTCATGATCAACTTTTGTTTTAAATGCAAAGCCCCTTTTTTAACCCTTTCGAGTATCGAGCCGGTTATATTCGAAAAAAAGGTGATGTCTGGTATATGGGAAACGTATATTTATGCAGCGACACAGGCCACGGTTCACTACGGGAAACGTGTTGATCAGCATACAGGTATGTCAGTATTTGTTTGTACCAAATACTATGCATACAAGCGAACATTTTCGGTGGTGGGGGAATAGGCATGCAGATAATTGTCGCACAGATGGCACCGTCAAGATAGGTTGCAGCACGTTTATTTGACCATTATTCTTCGAACGCGAGTACTGATACTTTAGTTATTTTACGTTATATTTATCTTCGAAATGTCTCATAGTGAGTTAACAGATTAAGAGTTGTTAGAAATATTGCAGAATAGCGATTCTGAGGGCGATTTCGATGGCGACGCCCAGGAATGGGAAAATATTCGATCAAGAAGATCAAAACGATTGTTGAACAAACTAATACAGGGTGATTCACAAGTCGTGACCAAAAATGAAACATACACAGGAACGCATTTTAATTGGGGTCTTCTATGTAACATTTTTTTTCGAGGGCTTCATTAAAAAGTTGAAGTTTAAAAATAAAAATTTTTTTTAATATTTTCAAAACTGTCAACTGGAATGAACTAACATATGGTAATTATTGTCCACATTCAAAAGTCTTTACTCAAAATTAACGTGCACCAGTGGCGGAGATACATGGGATCAGTGGCATTATTTTTCCAAATAAAAATAGTACGTCACTGTTTTTTTGCAACGCGCAATTTTTCGAATTTTACCTTCAATTTGCTACAAATAATTACTGTTGTGTTTTTCTCTAGAGTGCACTTTTCGTAAAAATAAAAATAAAACAAATTAGATCATTCATGAAGAGCCGAGATACAATTAGTTTCAAAATAAAATAGGAGGCTAACTTGACGATTCTTGGTAGATTGTTTGTCAAAGTTATGTGTTGTTAACGTTACTACCATTTTTTTTTGTGAAAGTCAAGTTAAAAGTTTCTTTTTTCCATTTTTGAGTTTTGTGAAATGAG